ATTCCTCCTTAAATTATTCCATGAAATAGAAAAGGAGGAAATGCTTCCAAATTCATTCTAAGAAGCTAGTTTCACCCTGATACCAAAACCAGACAAAGATACCTCAAGGAAAGAAAAATTCAGACCAATATCCTTGATAAACATAGATACAAAAACTCTTAAAAACATAGTGGCAAATCTCATACCAAAAAAACACATTAAGGGGCTGGGACTGTGGCTCAGTGGTAGAGCACTTGTCTAGCACATGTGAGGCACTGGGTTCGATCCTCAGAACACATAAAAATAAACAAAATAAAGGCATGCTGTCTATTTACAACTACAAAATTTTTTTTAAAAAAAATACACATTAAAAAGATAGTGCTGCCCAATGTTTCCTCTGATATGAAGGGGGTGGTGACTCATAGTGGGATATGGAGGGAGAGCAGGGAGGATTAGATTAATTCTAAATAGGAAAGAGGGGTGAAAGGGAGGGGAAAGGGAATTAGCAAGGATGGTAGAAATATGATGGTCATCATTATACAAAGTACATGTATGAAGACTTGAATTGGTGTTAACATACCTTATATACAAACAGAGATATGAAAAATTGTGGCATATATGTGTATTAAGAATTGTAATGCAAAAAAAGAACATGTATAATGGCATAAATTGATATGAACATACTTTATATAGAGAGATACGAAAATTGTGCTCTATATGTGTAATAAGGATTGTAATGCATTCCACTGTCATCGTGTATTTTAAAAACTAATAAAATCAATTAAAAAAAAAAAGATAGTGCATCATGATCAAGTGTGCTTCATCCCAAGGATGCAAGGTCGGTTCAACATGGAGAAATCAATAAATGATGGTTTTCTGTCTTATTTCCTGTGAGGGTCACAAAGGGCTCATTACAGGTACCAAAGCACTTACCTCAGACCCCACAGATACTCAGTAGGCATACTAAAACATTTTGTGGCTGAAGAATGAAAACTTACCACTTGAGCTTCCGGGAGTAGAGTATTGAGTAGCATCAAGGAATTTGCGTGGAGTAGGGAGGTTTGTAACATCGATCAGAGGACCAGGAGAAGCATCTTTCACGTGGGAGCTTTGGGGAAAATGAACAGTAGTTACCATTTTCGCTAAAACCAACTTAAGTCCTACTAGGAGCCTGGCCCTTGTCACTTTCCTTTTTGCTACAAGCCCTCTTCACACTGTGATTTCAAACATCTCACAAGCATATTTCCAATAAAGAGGTGACTGACACAGCCAGGAGCATAAAAATGTAGTCTAAAGACTCAAAGTATTTAAATGATATTTGGACCATCTGGATGACCACCTTATAATGAAATTGTGCCAAGCTATTGCAGTATTCTCCTTTATATTAAAGAATACCTTAGAAAGAAAATTCAAATGACATCATGACATGATATATAAACTAGTACAGAAACTTCATTTAAATTTGTATTATTCAAGTCAGATTTTTACATATTTTTTCAGAAGTTAACTACTCTTAGTTTTCTTTAAAAGAGGCCATAAATTTCAACAAGTTGGGAATCACTAAAATAAAGCTGATTTAAAGAATCTCAAACAGTCTGATTTAGTATTTAATTAGCTTTTTAAAAAAATCTTCTTTTAAAGCCTAATCCCTCCTGTTAATAATAAACTACAGTGTCTTAAAAAAAAAACTGATCTTAAATGATACAAAGATCATAAAGAACACTTCAATTTTCAAGCTATGTTGTTAAATTTATGAACACCTGTTACCTATAAGAAAGTAAGCAATGCTAATGCAGATGAAACCTGGGCCCTGCCCTCAAGAAACTAAATGATCTAGCCACACAACAGTACCACAGAAGAGCTGCTCTAACATCAGTTCCAAGGGTATAGAGTCAAAGTCATAGTTCTCACTTCTTTCCCATTCCAAAAAAACACCATCAGTAGTAATGGCTACCCTTAAATTGATTGTCAAAGTAGGTCATAAAAGGACAATAGGCACAGGGGGAGAAAGGAAAAGACCATCTCCATCAGAAGGGTATCTCCAAGAAGGATGGATTGAGAGATGTGAGCAATTGTGAACGACACCTGCAATCACCCCATGGTCATGTGTCCCCATCTCCTTCCCACACTCTTTTGGAACCAAGGTGCTAGTTGTGTGAGTATTTTGGTTATTCATTCATTCATTCATTTAGTGGTTCTGGGGATGGAACCCACGATAGGCAAGCACTTTACTATTGTGCTACACGCTATACCCAGGAATGTGTGCATTTTGAGCTTATTTTAAAAAAACGGTTCCTTCAGAAAAAATTTGAAAAATAAGCTTTGTTAAAGAGTAAAATTATCAGTTAAGGTATCACTGTTTTCATTGAGTCTTAATAATGTATGAGCCATTGTTTTAAGCCTTGTGGATGACTATGACAGTCATTAACTTTTCCCTTTTCACTTACCCAGAAAAGAAGGGAAATCATTACCCAAACAATTACTGAGCATCTGAGAGTGTTCACCACTGTGCTCTGTGCTGAAGATGCAAGTGTGACTAGGATATAAGCTACACCAAACTGCAAAATTCTAATAGTTCACTCACAGGCTAATGTGAAGTTGAAAGTATAAGATATAAAAGCTATATTAGGAGGAATTGAACCACCAGCATAGTTCCGATGACTTTTCCACCAATATAAAACCATAAGCTCCTAATTGCCTCAACAATCTTTAAAAACTCCAAGTCTTCAAAAAACACAATATTTTGTAATAAAAGTTTATGTATTTATAAAATCAGTAAGATCTGAGGTTTATCCTTCTTCCATCTTTTATGATTACTTTTGCATTCTCATTGTTTTATGTTTATCTACCTTATCACTTTTTATCTGTCTTTTTCTCATAATTAGAAAACTAGCTGTCCATATTTCCCTAGCACCCTAGCCCATGGACTCAGACTCTACTGAGGTTTATAATAATGCTACTGAGTGATTAATAAAAAGTCAATTTCAAATTTACAATGACAGGAAAATTATGTATTTCATAAATATTTAAATAACCAAGTGATTTTTAAAGGAGGATAAAGGTATCAATTAGCTGGAAAATCCAGGTAGATGTATAGCTATAATACTACCTGTCAAATCTAATAATAAATAAGTATAGTTAGTACATATGTATGTGCACACTGACATGTATATACACATGAGAATCTGTAACAGCACATACTTCTAAGAAAACAGAGCACACGATTCATCTTAAATTAAAACCTACATTATATTCTCAGTTTTAACCTAAAAATATATTTCAGTTAAATATAGGGTGATAAATGGCTTGCATTTCAACTCTGAAGAACATAACCTCCCAACTTTATAATCAGAGCCAGAGGGCTCTCAAACTCCATCAATAAACTTGTAGAAAGTCAATTTACCGCAGAACTATTTTCATAGACTCATCTCTTTCTCTCTCTAAAAATTTCCCTTAGGCCTCAATTTTCTCCTTTGTGAACACTAACCCAAAGGCAAGTAACTCTGGAAATGATTTTTGGTTTTTTTCTTGTACTTTTATGGAAGGACTTGCTTTCAAAAGTTCCAGAGAAAAAAAGGATACACCCACTCATTTAGTAACTACAGACATGAAGTTTGGCAGACAGGTAGGTGTTATTATGGAATATCACATTTAATGTGTATGAACCCTAGTTTTCGTTTAAGAAGAGAAAAGAAGACCTCTTCTAACCATATCAGAGATAAAGGTGAAAAATTGGTAATTACTTCAAAGGGTTTTGAATCCCTCAATGTATTTTAGAAAATAAAAACAGACAGAAAAATAATTTTTTTGAAGTTTGTAATTAATATGAACCACTTTATTATGAGAGATATTGATATTTTTCTTTTTAAATACAAATAACAACTTTTTTATTTTAAATCCATTCAGAATCATTCATGACTGAATTGAAAACAATAGCTGATATACACTAAATCCCTCCCAGCATAAGAGAGTCTTGCAAAATCACCAATTGTATACTGGGATTGCATGTGTTTTGCAATTCAATAACAACATGGTGGAGGACAGGAAAACTATAAAACAAATGAAGCCAAACCAAAAATAAACAACAACTACTGCCCCCATAACCCCAAGAAATTTCTGGTCATTAATCAACCATCCCAGCTAATTAGGATCTACTTCTAAATGTGTTTGATCTCAGAATTAAATCCATGAAAACTGTTCTTGTTTGTTTGTTTGTTTGTTTGTTTTTAAAGAAGGGCGAGAAGTACTAGGCTTACTGAATATTTGCTTTTTAATTAGAACATATTTCTATTCCTTTGCTTAGTAATCAATGATCCAACTATGTCCAAAATTTGTAGTTGCAAGTCATCTCCTGATCTTAATATCAAACCAAAGACTGACACAGGTAAGCTGAACTATAAGCTATAACTCTAGTTATAACCTCTATAACCAGACAGTTGGCACAGTACCTATCAAAGAGCAAATGTACATAAAAGTTTGTTAAGTCACACTGAGATGAGAAATATCTGTCATTTGATACTATGCATTTAGTAAATGTTTAAGTGAACCA